AGCCTGGATACAAGCTGCCACACGGCGTGGCATAGACCGATAAAGCTCCCGGATGGTCTCTTGCGGTATTTCCTGCCAAATTCGATCCAATTGTCGAACGAGGTCATCAACATTCCGTGCCAGATGCAATCGCCTTCCCATCATATCCCAGACATGCTCGATGGGAGAGAGATCTGGTGATCTGGCAGGCCAAGGAATGACAAGCTTGCAGACAGTTCATAGCAACACGTGCCATATGTGGTCTGGCATTGTCCTGCTGAAAAACCAGCCCAGTGCACTGCAAAAGGAACGGTAGCAAAACAGGTCTTAGGATGTCGTCGACGTACCGCTGTGCAGTAAGTGTACCTCTAATGATGACCAAAGAGGTTTGGCTGTCAAAGGAAATGGCACCCCAGACCATAACGCCTTGTTGAGGGCCAGTGTGGCGTGCAATAGTGAAGGCAGGAACCCCCCTGCCCTGTGCGTCTCCAAACACGTCTTCGGTGATTGTCAGGACACAGTTGGAAGCAAGATTCGTCACTAAAGACTATACGTTCGCAGTCGTCATCATTCCAGCCATATCTATTCAAAACATTCATGCATACGAAATTTCAAAGCAATCAGATGATTGCTTCTTGGTGCGTCGATTTTTTTGTTATAGAGTGTAAATTCTTAAAGTAAACTAATTATTCAACTTGAACTATCACTTAAATTAACCTAAAAAAATAAATCTGTACAAATACTTAAAGTACATTGCACAAAAAAGGGGCCATCCTGAATAACTTTTGATATGATGTTCGGATCTTCACGTTCCAGGACTCAAACTTAATGGCTCAAAGGGGTTAACCTCAAATATGCTAATTAATTGTGCAAATTATTTTACTATATGTTAAATTTTGCATGGAATTATCTTAGCATAAACGAATTTTATAATTGTGTGCAAAATTCTCCGAATTTGCTTAAAACTCGAGATATAGTGAAATACTCAAAAAGTAAAATTAACAATAAGGGGTCCTATTTTTGGAGCTTTCTAATAACCAAACTATTGAGACCATATTTCTCAGATTGCGACTACCCTCTATATTTTGGGAGTCAGAAATCTGATATTTCATGATCTATTTCAACAAAATGTTTTTTGCGATATCGACACATATAAAGAATATTTTTATCTTAGGATAATTATTCTTTATTCAGAAATATCGCATTTATACCAATAGATGTGTCTTGATAACGACTATTGGATTTCCCATTTTCAGATTCTCTTTATTAATTTTTAATTTAATATTTTATCTTATTATTTTATTTATAACCTTATTTATTATTTAATTTATTATTTATAATAAAAGGATGACATTTTAAATTAATCTCTTTTCGTTATACGTATTATTTTAACAACGATTAAAAGCAAAAAAAATGTTCCTTCTGGTGTATTATTTTTAGAATCATCCCTGAAAAAGAGACGCCACACATTAAAGAGTTCTGCAAACTACCTATTAGTAAAACTTCGATGAATTTATCAAAAGAACCGGAATAATTCAACTTCAGCATTAAAAGTCACAAAATGGGTACTACTACAGAGAAGTTTTTATATTAGAATAACATTTTTAAACTTAAAGCTGATAAAGATGTCAAAAACGCAGTACTTTTTTAAAACCATTTATGCTTCTTTTCTACTTAAAGATTATCCATCTAGAAAACTAAGCAATCCATTTAGTCATATGGGATAGACGTATATGTCCATTGTTTAAAGTTGGGGAAAACTAAGATTTAGGTTGTTTATTTTTTTCTATTACTCTAACCCTAGGAGTAAGGTACAGAGGGTTTCTTAGTCTATATATCAAAAAGACTTGAGGGGAAAAAAGTTTTCTCTTGGTCTAGAAACTGATTTCTTTCTCTTTTTTTTTTATTTTAAGCCATTAAATTTTGTTCCTTTGCTTTCATGTTATGCCTGCTCTTTTTTTTACCTTTAAAGGAGTGTTGATGCATTTTGGAGAAAAAAAATTCTGTCACTTAAAAACTTTTTTTTTACGCATCGGGTAATGAATGATAAATGCTTCTTGGGAATAATTGATTTTCCAGGGTTTCGTGAAGAAAGCTAGACAACAAAGGTAGGAAAAAAAGATTAAAATATTTAAAAAAGTAAACTGTAATCAATAGGTATAAAATTCTTTAGAAAAATTTAATAGAAATTTTCTTAACTTTAGTCATTTGTTTAGATATGTATTTTAAGGTAATTTTTAATGACTTCTATCCTTTCCGTCAACAGTTTTTCCTGAGACTTTTAACTGGCTTATTTTAATACCGGTAAGAACAATATTTTTTTTTATGTTGTCAAGGGAGTTAAATCCTTTTAGTGTTTCAGGTAAATTATTTCATTCATTAAAAAATATATTTTAAAGACAGGGTTTTGTCCTGCCTTTATATACTTAAATAAGTGACGGAAAAGAAATGTTTCGATCATTTAAAAATCAAAATATGTGTCAAAATCGCAAAAAACATACTTCATTACATAAATTACGATCTTTATACCTTACTGTATTATTTTGTTTATTAATTTTAAACAGATAAATTTTATCTTTTATAAAAAATATTTTTAAAAATGGTACGATATTTAAAAGAATATTATGCTTATTTAATGAATTAGCAAAAATAACAATTATTTATACTTGAAGTCAATAGTATTGTTTCTATGTAGTTTAAAGCACGCAATTGTTAATATGCAAAAAAAAAAACAATCTTAGACATTTACTTGAATGTCACTAACAAAGCAAGGTAATTATTTTCTTTTTAATTCTCGAATATAAAATTATAAAAATAAAGTTGCACTAATACAACTGAAACTAATTTACCCTAATTGTTTCAATTGGTGCTTAAATATCTTGTGTATTGTTCCATAAATATTACCTAACAATACACTGGAGCACCTTTGGACATCAAGAAGAAAAATGCATCAAAATGTGCTCCTAATTATAATCAACTTAAAATATCTAAAGAAAGCTCCATTTAGAAAAGGAAATTAAAAAAAATGCCGGTACTCTATTTAACTAATTCATGAAACACACAAACTTTTTTAGTATTTTTCCTCTGAAAATTAAAGCAATATATTGCATGCATATAAACGAAAATATATAATTGAAACAAAATTAATAAATTAGCATAAATTTCATTCGAATGATTTTTAAAGCTATTTTCAAAAATATTTACTTGTATTTGAATTGCAAGCAAATTAATGACAATGGTTTGAATTTTTCTTTAAAAGTAGTGGAGGAAGCAATGTATTCTGTTCGAGAACTAGAAGCAAGC